CATATGCTGTTCTCCTATGGCAGATGTCTTACAGTTCTGGCATCTCCAACCTCTTGAGAGTCTCCAGTGCAATCCACGCTTCATTTTTCACAGCTTCATAACCTCACAGGGACTCATCTGACACTCACTGCCTGGCCTCAGTGGCTCTCTGAAACCATGGAGGAAACATCCACGACCTCCTCACTCTTGCATTTTTCATGTCTTCAAAGCTAGTACCACATGGACAGCACTACCAAGTTTGACTTCCAGCTTGGGATGGACCCTTACCCTGTGAAACACACCAGGAACAGCTTTTGCCTATGGCTGCTATCTAGAATTGGAAAACTCTTTAGGCTCTCTTTCACAAGTTGGAAACTTATCTGGGTGGCATCTTTCCCTGAGGGCATTTTTCCAGTTGTCCCAGTACAGAGCAGGAAGCCTCTCCTTAATGTGCTAATATCTTTAACAATTACGGTCACTTTTCCAGCACATTCCTTGCCTTTAATATTAAGATTCCTAGTGCTCTTTTTCTCTCCAGTCTGTGCATTTTGTATTTCTCTATGTTCCACTTTCTCTTTTTCATTGTATACCTGCATAAGAGTTATCAATAATAAGTATTCCAAAGATTCAATGTTATGCTGTCTTGAAATTTCTTTTGCCAAAGAAATCAGTCTATTATTTAATTCCACCTCAAGTAAGTTCTCAGGACATGGACAGAAAACAGCCAGATTCTTTGCCAAAATGTTACATAAATGGCCTCTAGCAGAGTTGGTAATATAGACCTTCTTCCTCTCTGAAGCCTCATAAACTAGTTCCTAAGCCAGCTGCATTACTCTCAGCATGGCTATTTTTCAGGTTCCTTCTAGAGTGGTGCATTAAGCTCTGTTTACAGCACTCAACCACCTTTCAGTCCAAGTTTCAAAGTCTTCCACAAAACAAAACAACACAGCCAAATACTTCAGAGCAACACCCCCATTCCTGGTACCAACTTCTGTATTAGTTGTTTTTTGTTGCTGTGGTAAAACACCATGACCTAAACCAACTTATAGAAGAGAGTGTGTTTTGGTTTGTGGTTCCAAGGGAATGTCAATAATGGGGGAGGTGTGGCAGCTGGTGGCCTCAGCAGGAAGCTGGTTGATCACATTTCATTACACAAGAAACTGAGACAGCAACCCAGAAGTGGGGCAAGGCTATAAATTCTCAAATCCCACCTCCAATGACTCATGTCCTCTAGCAAGACTACATCTCCTAAAGGTGCCATAACCTTCCCAAACAGTACCACCAAATGGGGACCAAGTGTTCAAATACATGAGCCTATGGAGGACACTTTTTATTCAAGGAAGGGAGGCAGAAACATTGTGAGTTGAAGGCGAGCCTGGCTGATATAACAAGTTCATATCTCAAAACACAATAAACAAACAAAAAAATATTTGTTTTATAATAGAAAATACAGTCATATAGTCCAAAAGCCATAAAGTATGGTGAAAGGAGAATATAAAAATTCTCCCTCACACCCATCTCCCAGCACCTAGCCTCCCTTTCCATGGGAATGAATGCTATCAATTTTTGTATATTACTTCAGACAAATAGACAGACACATAAAAGTGTGTGTGTGTCTGTGTGTGTAAGCATATGAGTGTTTACTGCTCCCCATTTTATGCAAAATATTTTACACATTGTCCTGTTCACTTAATTCTATACTCATCCTAACCCTTGGATATTGTCTTAGTGAGTAAATATCAATTTTCATACTTTTTTCATCTGTAGAATACATTATGTGGGCATAAGCTATAAAATTCATCCTTTTAAGGTTTTTACTCATTCTTTCTCTGCTGGAGTGAACAACTATAAAAACAAGCCAGTGAGTGCACATTTAAGCACATTTCTGTAATATAGTCCTGAGATAAGGGAACCACTGAAATGCAGGGGATTCTCTGACTGAATAGGTTCCACCATGCTGTTTTATAGAAATGTTAAAAACAATGTTTGAAAATGAAGAATAAATAGGGATCATGGTCCTAAAATAAGCTATGGTATTTGGGTAATAACTGTTTCAAATAAGGGAAAGATCTAAAAATCCAGTTACATTGGCTTGAGATGATAATGTGGACTAAAATATGCACACCCTCTCTCCCACAGATGTGTACATACAATATCCATGAGAATTCTCACAGAACCTAACAGCTAGAACAAAAAAGGGAACTGGTCATATTAAAGTGAAGCAAGATCCTGACAATTAGTATAATTGAATATGTAATTGTGCTAATTAGAAGTGTATATTTAGATGTCTTGCGACTCACCAGAACATTGCTGTACACTACCTCTATATTCAAAATATCCTTCCTCTCCAAAGAAGCTATTTCTAAAACCTCATTTGACTTTACTGATGCTCATTGTTCACTGCCGGCATGTCCATATTTCTTCAATTACCATTTGCAGGTATGTCGTATTTGTTCAGAGTAGGGAAGTACATATTTTCCCCCATATAAAGCCTTCTCAGAGGCAAGGCCATATTCTAGACTAATATTCTAGTCTGCTGAACCTCCTTCCAAGAGAAGACGGCACATTAAGAATTATTCAATAAATATTCATCAAGTAAAACACATCATCAATGATATAAAATGCATTCTGGGTAATTACCTGCTGCCTGTTAAACTAGAATTTATGAGCTTTCTGTTCCTCCATAGTAGAGTCCTCTTGCTTCCATAACAGACCTTGCCACTTTTTGCTATTGTCATTTTCAGCTCAACTCACCCACTGAGAAGTTACTTTGCCCTGAGGGAGTCTGTGGTCCTGTCACTTAATCTCCAACCACAGAATGCCCTTCTAACCCACTTGCTGCCTATTCTAATCCTACTTGTTTCTTTACAGCCCACAGTGACCAAAGGGCTCCACCAAACCTTCCCACTTTACCCTCACAGTTTCATTCCCCTATAGAAATCTTAGCATGTGTACCTAATTCCCTAGGTAATGTTCAGTAGTTTCAGTGTATCTGCAAATCCAACTTTTCTAAGTGGCACAAGCTTAGATGAAAGATGAGCAGAAACTGAGCTCAGATTTTTTAAATTTTATTTTTATTTTATGCATATAAGTGTATTGCCTCCATGTATATAAGTGCACCTGTGTTGTGCAATGCCTGCAGAGTCCAGAAGAGGGTGTTGGATCCTGAAACTGGAGTTTCAGACAGTTGTTAGTCACCATGTGGGTGCTGGAAATCGAACCTGGGTCCTCTGCAAGAGCATTGGTGGTCTTAACCACTGATCCATCTCTCTGGCCTGAGTTCAGATTTTTTAAAAGGCAGAAAAGTGGGCTGGAGTTGAGAGCTCTTACTAGACAGAAGCTAAGGCCAGCTACTAAAACAAGCTCCTCCATATTTGAATTGGCTAACCTAGAGACACCACAACCTAATCAGCTTTTTCAAGGGAACATCATCATCTGGAGAAAAGGTCAGAGTTCAACTTGCTTTAAAGAAACAAAATTCGAGTTACCTCCATCATGGACATGATAAATCAGCCTGACTAATAATGCCCCCTAAACAAAACTCTTTTCTCTTGTTTGATGAGTTCTAAAACATCTTTAACAAGTTTAGGGGATAAGAAGAGGGAAAGAATATTCATTTTGCAATTAGACAGGCAAACTAAGTGCAGTGACTAATGCTTTACTGTGGCTGAGTTCCAATTAAAGGGTAATTAGTATCAATCAGAAGTGTACATGATATCATATTAATTTATTTCTCACTTTCAGTGCAAGATGGGAAGGAAAAAAGCAAGGAAAGAGGTAGGGAAGAAGGATATCTCAGGAGACCAAAAGATGTCTGACAGGGAGGAACAGAGGAACATCCCACAGAAGTGTGAGAAGGAAGCCAAGGCAAGGAAAGGCCTTGTGTTCACCCAGGATGGGCGATGGGCTCTGTGTGCTGATACAATCATGGTTAGATCCACGAGTTTTGATTTCAGAAATAAGAACTTCTTATTTTTTACTTGCTAAGTGTCTCCCTTCAGTTGTTTGTTTTTCTTTCTAAATATAAGTTCTTTGGAAATTTTGAGGTCAGAATCATAGAACCAGAAGCATTTCCCTATAAAATGCCCTGTAGGAACTTCATATACTGACACTCCTAAGGCAGGCCAGGTGGCAAATCTGCTTTTGTCCCTTATGTGAACAATAACAGAAGACACCAGAGGATGACCACTGCCAAGATGGAATTTAAGCCTCTGAACATTGCAGTCACCACTCAAAAGAGAATTGCCATTCTCACAAGACACCAAAAGTCTATTTTTTAAAGAAATTTACCATATACAAGAAAGTTTTTAAAAATTTAGAAAATATACTTTCTATTCACTATAGGACAACAGCTCAGTTGATTAAAAGTAACAATTTTTCAGATATGTTTTTCATTATAATCAACTGTTTATGCTTATTTGTAAATTTTCACTATAGAAGTTACATATACTGAAAGAAAATTGTGTCATTACTAAAGATTTGTGTTTGAAAACGGTTCTTTCCTGTGCCATAAGGAAGCCTCTCAGCAAACGGTATTTTCATTATGTTTTAACGTTATAAAAATCTTATAAACCTTTATGTCGACGAAATTATTTTGAAAAAAAAAAAGCAAACAAAAACTTTTCCACCTTGGTATAGTAATGCAAGTCTAGAATTCCAGCCCTTGGGAGGCTAAGGAAGAAGAACTACAATTTTTGATGTTGAACTGCACAACAAAGTGAGCTCTAAGCAGGCGTGGGCTACACAGTGAAACTGTCTAAAAAACCGACAATGGGGTGTAGTTCAGGAAGAGAGTACTTACCCGGTATGTGCAAAGCCCAGAGCTAGGTCCCCAGCACCACAGAAAAAATAATATTAAAATAAAACCCACCCTTTCCATTCAGCAAACTAGTAAAACATTATTGGCTATATTCAAATCACATGATAACTATACAACACTAAATCAGAACTACAGTGACCATGAACAAAAATTAAAATTCAGTGTCAAAATCTATATGAGTCAAGGAGTTTTGTTTAATCACCTGTGTATATCTTCTAACTGAAGATCAAAATCTTCAAGTTTCTTTTGATATTTCTCCATAAAGTTACAGAACTCAATAAGGATTGACGATTTCAGATCAGGATACGGACATTCCAAAGTTTCTAACTCTATGGGCAGTTCACTAAGCAGGTTAGCTTTTTCATCTGAAGAATATTCTAGCAACTGAAATAAATGATTATTTGATTTAATAAAAATGAAAAATTGACAAATGAATAAATTACTACCTAGATCTTACTTACTTTCACACTCCAGTCTGAAAGGTGGTTTTCTATTCTCTGTTGCTCCAGATTAAGACTTTCAAAGACAGCTTTCAACTCTTTCTTCACAGAATCAACCTAGAGGAACAGAGAATATGTAAATTACTGCAATTTTCCCAGGATTATTTCTATATTTTAAAGATTTATTTTCTTTTTATTTATGTCTATGTGTGTTGTGTCTTTGAATGTACATACACATGTGTATACAAGCGCCAGTGGAGGCCAGAAGAGGGCATCAGATCTTCTGGACCTGGAGTTACAGGCAGTTGAGAGCAGCCTGGCATGGATGCTGGGAACTGAACTCCAGTAGTCTGGAAGAATTAAAAAGTCCTTATAGCTGCTAAACCCAAAATTATTTCTATTTACAGACAAGAATCATTTTCAAAAGCCAGTAAAAGGAAAACAATAGAAGAGGGGAAAGCCTGTTTGAAAACCTGTGAAGAAAAAGAGATGCGACCAGGTAGTGCTCATCAAACAAATGACCCTTAGGGAGGATTGCAGTCCCATAAGCCAAAAGGAGCTTGCACTGTGGTTACAGCTACTCTGCACCTGCATTTGGAATTGTTCATGGTAAGACTTCAACCACACACACTTGTTCTCAAGCATCCCTTCCTCTAGTCCCCAGCTAGGCATAGATTCATTCTTTTTATCTATGAAAGCACTATAACATGACAGAATAGCTGGGAAGTAAAGAAATGAAAGTTCAAACTCTACACCTTGCACAACCATACCAACAGACCTTATGCTGCACAGAGGGGAGGTCATCAACAAGTAAACAAAAGTATCCAAAAAGGCATGCAGAGGGGCTGGAAAGATGCCTCAGTGGATGAGAGCACTGGCTGCTCTTGCAGAGAACCCAGATTCGATTCCCAGCACCCACATGGCAGCTAACAACTGCCCATAGCTGCAGTTCCAGGGGATCCGACACCCTCTTCTGACTTCTGTGAGTTGCATGACATGGGTGCACTTACATGTATGCAGACAATACACTCATACACATAAAATAATAAAAATAGTAAATAAAACATTTTTCTTGTCTTTGTTTTCATTTTAAAAATGATTTATTTAATAACCACATAATTAGAAGAAGCATTTCATCACAACAGCATGGACATATTCAATAACAATTTTCAGAGCTAAGATGCATCTCCATCAAAATTGAACGTCAATTTTTAGGTTTACAGTTGAATTAATACAGTTATACAAGACATAAAATTACAGGAGGTTTTAACCTTCAAAAAGGATCTCCATTTCATTTTAAAATATACTGTTTCATACAGAAAAACTCATTTTTAATGCAACTAACAGATGTTTGCACATGCTTCTCTAATCTCTATGTATCTGATTATTACTAGTCACGGTTACTTTCGAGACCCTTGTCACCTGAACATGGATATAAAGTCATCAGGTAGATTTCAATGGTAAAGTTTTTCACATCTACTAATTACATGAAGCAAATTTTTATGCTTCTTCCCCAAATACAACTAATTTTTAATATTTTTTGTATGTAGTTCATACAGAACAACCCAAACAATCTTACTCATCTATATACCCACATCCCAAGTGACACTATCCCATCCCCCTCCCCACGGCTGGAGCCCATATATTCATCATCCCTATTACTGTCCACTGTGTTGTCAGTGTCCCCAGCTATTTTCCCAGTGCTTATCCATTCACTGAGTCTAGTCAGCCTATCTACGGTTCTTTGTTTTGGGAAGATCAGCTCTTCCTCATCTAGCAGCAATCAGTTGCCAATATTCCCTTAGATAAGATTGGGGTCTGCTGTTCATTTTCCCAGTTCTGTGCTGGCTTACTATCTGGGAGTCTCTTGGGCCACCCTGGCCAACAACTCAAAAGAAGGTATCTCCTATCTGGCATTGTTTCTTGTTATGTAGCCTTTAGCTATACATA